GCAAATTGCAATAAAATGATATGCAGTTTCATTTTGTTGAAGATTACAGAGAGTGCAAAGATAATTTTGTTCAGACCACGGCTTGTAGTTTAGATTTATCAGTTCTGCTCTAGCTTTAATAGCCCAAGAAGCGATAAGCGTATTGTTGAGCATTATTGGGCTCCTATCGCCAAGTTCAAGGTCGAGCGTCAGTAATTGCCTGTGGTGGACAGAGGTCCGCGCTCGCCCTACACACTCCTCCCTCCACCTGCCACCGTCCTCAGCTGGAGGCCCAACCCCTCTGGATCGAGATCTTGGAAACTAAACTCAATATTGCATTTTTGTCCCAAATACTCCCATTCTCTACACCAAGATGTTTTTTTCTCGATTATTTGTTTTGCTAAAAAGTTTGGCAATCTTTTTGGTGGCAAAGTTAAACATCTCAAAATATAGTTAATATTTAAATTTATAGTGTAAAAATAAAGTTTATCGAAGTATGTTTCAAGGTACAATACATATTTTGGCGTATTATAAGGCAGTGCAAATATTCTTTTTAGAAAAAAAGTTTGTACTGATTCTATTATTTCACTTTCTATGAAACCCCAGGTCTGTGCTCCATAACAGATTGTCGATCGCACAACAGCCTCGAAACACGATATTTTGGAAATCATTGGCACTTTATTGTTTTTAAATAAAGAATTCCATACAGAATTGATAACAAATTTTCCTACTCTGGCTTTTTCCTTAAAATGGCTGTTCCATGACAGGTTGCTTGTAAATGTAACCCCTAAATACTTATACTGATTTACCACCTCGATAACGTTTCCTTTATACCTCCACTTATCACCTGCCTTTAGTCTTCCACCCTTTCTGAACACCATTATCTTAGATTTATTTAGATTGACAGTTAGATTCCAAGTGTCACAATAGTTTTCTAATTTTTTAATCATATGCTGCAGCCCAGTGCTCGTTGGGGAAAGGAGAATAATATCGTCTGCATAAAGTAGCACATTTATTTTAACCCCATTGATGTTACACCCCCCTTCCACCACTTCTGGCAGATCATTTATAAATAGGCTGAATAAAGTCGGTGACAGATTACATCCTTGTCTTAAACCTGTATTAGTTTGAAAATAACTAGTTATTCCGCCTCCACACCACACACTAGAACTTGTTTCACTGTAATAACTCTTTAAAACATTCCGCATTCGCGTGGAGACACCTAAATTTGCCAATTTGAAAAGCAATGCTCTCCGATCAATTGTGTCGAAAGCCGAGCTAAAATCTACAAAGAATGCATAAAGCTTTTGACCCTTTTGTAATAGACGTAAATTAATTATACATGTCAGATTAAATATGTTATCGATGGTGGCGTATCCTCTTCTGAAACCTGCCTGAAATTCTGTTAGTACTTCATTCTCGCACATCCACGTTTGTAATCTAATATTTATAAGGCTCGTGAATATTTTCGTAATGCTATTAATAAAAGACAAACCTCGGTAGTTATCAGCTAAATTAACATCGCCTTTTTTGTGTAAAGGAAAAATAATCGATTCTTTAAATGTTTTTGGTACTGTTTCACTAATAAAAATGTTATTGTATACCGTTAGTAACATATTTAAAAATTCATCTGAGGCATTTTTGAAAAATTCATAAGGTATTCTGTCTGGTCCAGGTGCTTTATCGGATTTCACTGATTTCAAAACATTCCTCAATTCACCGAAAGTGAAAGGATTATCCAGCTGGTCGTTATCTATTAGCGGTTCTGCATAACTTATCGACTCTGTCAGAAGTGGTGGATTCAATAAATTCTTAAAATGATTTAACCAATTAGTTGCAGATATATCTCCCACAATATTGTCATTTTTCCTTTTGAAGGTGTTAATGGCCCGCCAGAATGACTTGCTATCACTTTTGCTATCATTTAGATCTGATATAATTTTATCGTAGTAAGATTTCTTTTTACAAGTACACAGTTTTTTATAGTTATTGAATTGTGTGAGATAGCTTTTCTTTACTTCCTCTGAATTGGTTTTTCTGTATAAATTTAAAAGCCTAAACATTTTTTTCCTTTCAGCTAAACATTGAAAGTCAAACCAAGGATTTCTTTTTATTATTTTATTACCTTTAGCAACACTGTTTGGTTTCTGTTCAGCAGATTCGTAAACACACTTAATTACCTGATTAATATTTTCTTGGTTATCATCAGAAATTGTAACTAACTCTAAATTTAAATTAGTACGTTTATGATAGTTTAAAGTGTCACTGGCGGTCCATTTTAGCTTAGGAAGTAAAGGTAAGATTTTACCACACTCCCCTCCAGCGACACTAGGACTTGCAACATTTAACCTAATTTCGCATGGAAGATGATCTGAGCCTGGGTACGGCACTACTTTGAAATCATTGATTAGATGTAAAGAATTTACTGACACCGCCGCGTAATCAATGACTGATGAACCCAATGACCCTATAAAAGTAAATTCCCCTTCCTTATCGCTCTCAGATCTCCCATTCAAAATAATAAGACCTGTGTTGTCAAAACACTCTAAAATTTTGCGCCCTCTACTGTTAATGATTTTGTCTTTTGATTTCCGAAAATCGCTGAGTTTTTTTGTTATATTGCTAACTTCTCCGTCTAAAAATCCCTGTTCATCCCCTGTCCTACAATTTAAATCCCCTAATAAAACCCAATTTTCTTTCTCACTGCTATTAAGTAATGTAACTAGATTTTCGAAGTCTTGTTCCCAGTTGTTACAATTTAAATAAAGAGGCAAAAAATAAAGAAAGCTTTGTGTATTCATGAAACTCACTTTTACAATGTTAAAATTATGTTCTTCGACACAAGTCAAGCTGTCAATAAAAGGAGATGATTTATTAATTGCTATAATCTCTCCACCACTATACCTCCCTACATTTCCGGTCCTGACGGCTAACTTAAAAAACAAATTGAAATTCTTCAGCTGAGCTGAAATAAAAACTACATCACTCTCTGATATAAAGGTTTCCAAAAAAAATATACAATCATAACTTTTTAAAACATTTAAAAAATTGGTATCACTAACCTTGCTTTTGAGCCCACAAACATTATAAACCAAAGCCCTAAAAAGTCCCTGATAAAGATCAATTTCTTGCCTTTGGTCTTGTGGAGGATTGGCGTAGCCCTCTCACACCTCGGCCTGAGGTGGGGGTTTGATGATGTCGTCTGCTTGGGATGGACCCGAGGAAGCTGAGGAAGATTTCTTGTTCTCTGCCATCCGCGAAGGCTCCTTGGAAGCTGCCCCTGCGTAGGTCTGAGATGGCGTCGGTGTCTGTCTCACAGTTGAAGTTTCATTGCGCCTGTTTGCCTTCTCGCTCGGTAGTTTGGCAATAAAGTCGGAAAAATCGTGTCGAAAAAGCTCTTTAAGGATGTTTGCGCCATTGGTTGGACCAGATCTTAGACAGCCCTCTTCCCACGTAAACTTGTGTCCCTTCACATACAGATGATCATGAACTAGCTGCATCTTCACCTTGTCGTCACCCACCACTCGTTGTATTTCAGCCCGCACTGATACAAGGTAAGACCGTTTGTCCCTAATCTCACGAGGAAAGTCCCTATGTATAATGTACCCAGTTCCACTCAGTCTCCTAGTCTGGCTAAGGATGTATGTAATGTCGGAATCTTCAGGAATATGTGCTATGAGTGCCTTGCTATCTTTTCCCAGAGGGTGGGCCCTGTTGACCCACACCCTATCTATCCCCAAAACATCTTTACAAAAATCTCTGATTATCTCCCGAAAGTCCGGATTTTTCCCTCTCCACTGCAATCCCTTGAATATAAGGTTATTTCGCCTTGATCGTGCTTCAAGGTCTGTAAGCTTGTCATTTGCAATTTTTCCCTGGCGCTTTAGGTTAGCTACTTCTTCCCTCAAATTTTCATTTTCATAAACTAATTCCTGAACTTTATTGTTAATACCGGCAATGTCCTCTTTAGTTGCTAACCATTTAAGCTTCTCGTCCAACTTACATTCTAGAAGATTACTCATACCTTCCATAAGCTGTGTAAGGCTCATGTTTCCCACTTTTTCCTCGTCCATGGCTAGGTTACCTTCGTTTCCCGGGCTCTCTGGAGAGATGTGTAAACGATTCCGTTTACTACTCCTTGACTGCACCGGCGTGAAATAGTCTCCTATCCTTGTATTTGGCATCAAACAGCGATGACACAGTCACTTTAATTACACTGTTCTTCACAAACCACGGCACTAGTACGACGACTGGGACACATACACGTGTCTATACTCGACCGTACGGACCACGTTGAGCGGACGAGGTAACTCACGATACTCGGTTGGTTAAGTTAGGTTATGACAGTAACTGCCGGACGCCTAATCCACGTCCGGTTACCGGACGCGTATCCTCTGCGTTAATAAAAACTACTTACATTGATGTCTGTTTACGAGATTGCGTATTTTAAGGAAGAAATGTAGGTACGTTTAAATTTATTTTTCCAGGGTCCAAGGGGGGGGCTTTAGCCCCTGTAGCCCCCCCCCCTTGTAACCGCCACTGATCACCCGTATGGGCCCTAAGGGGACACGACCTTAATATCATCAGTTGACTTGCAAATCCATGAAAATTGTGTAAGGCATTTAAAATTTTTTTAACTCTAAGTAGCCTAAGTAGGATAAATATTTTGAAGAAAATAGATTACCTCTAATTGTTCATGCGGTTTTGACAACTAACTTAGGCCTACCTACCTCAAATTTAGGTTAAGCCCTAGATTATTGATAAGTTAAAAGTATAGCCTACTCTACGTAAATGAAAATATCGACTTTTGCCAATACCCTGTTTAGAAGAGGTAAATGGGTTGACATACATACATGAGTCCAAGACATGCAAGAGACCGAGGAAATCCGTTATCGTTCAAAACACAACATTACACAAAAACTAAAACAAATTGCAGACTCTACACACTTTTGTACAATAAGCTGATCACTGGTCAACCCCCTTGACCCCCACTGGCCTTAAACAAAATATGGCTGCCACACCTTTAGCAGACATAGGAATTCTGGGAGTGTGAAATATGGCACAAGTTGCCAAATCTCATCATGCTCCTAGAAAGGTCATCTAGAAATAAAAGAAGAAGAGAAAACATTTTTTGGACTATTTACTGTGCAAGGTATGCCAAAGTATGTTATACCGCCTTGCAAATTTAACAACTAAAATGCCTTCGTTCTTTTAGAGCTAATAACTGGAAGAAAGTTACATCCTATTTTAGGATCTACAGTAGATGTGGCAACGTTGTAAAGACCCGGATGCCACTTATACAACAATATCAGAACAACAACTGATTTTTACAGAGTTTGTTGAGACATAATTACTTTAATTTCAAATATTTTGGCAGCCTTAAAGTTGTTTTACCATTTATTAATTCACTTAGGTACTTTAATACTCATTTATAATATAACGGAGCCTGGAAACAACTAAAAACAAACTTGAAGTTGGATATTTGAGTTCGGCGTCATATAGTTCAACATGGCGTTAATTTAGAGAGTAGATTATTATTACTTGTGGTGAGTTATTTTACTTAAAACAATTATTATATTGTGCGCATATGTGTGAAAAATAATTTGAAACTTCATCCAGCATTCAAACGTAACGTTCTTGTTCACAAAGAGTGTAAAGCCTTATCGTTTAGAACGTGTATTGTTTATCGAATCATTGGATCAGACTTCCCTTCGTGAATGAATGAAACCTGAATTTTAATTAAACAAGTGTTTGGGTACAGTTAAGTGCGCGAGCAATATTGGTTGTTGGATACATTTTTGCGCGGTAAGTAATACTCATTCATTTAACCATTTATGTAGGATTAACTTATTAGTTGTAGAACACAGCAATTTAATCTTTGTCAAAGGTGGAAGGCAAGAAAGTTTGTCCTGAAACAGAAGCTGTTAGGCGAAAGGAGTAAGACTTCATGACTTGGTTCCCCCTTATAACAACAGATCTTAGTCCTCTTAAATGACCTAAGTTAAACCTTGAGTTAATATCATATTTTTAATAATGAATGATTCAGTTTAAAATGTAGGCCTGACTAGGCCTAGAAAGTTTAACTTACAGAATGTAAGTTAGGCCTAACTTAACCGAAGCTAGGCATATTTACTTGGATACTTAAGTTAGATAGGTACCATACTTGATCTCTTCATCATTGACCAACAAATGTCGGATAGATTGCGTCATTAGATTACTAGGCTACACTATTTACTGAGACTATTTACATATATTACAATTAAACTGAACTGACGGATGTGACTTTTTTGGGGAAAGCGAGTGGCTCGTCAAACAGTTCTTTTAAAGAGTACAAGGGCCTGCTGAGTAGGCTCTGGCGAAGTGCGGATTTGAATCGCTTTTGGGGCTAGAGCTCGGATATTAGTCGGCAATGTGTTAAATAGTTTTATAGCTAAGTATTGAGGGGTAGGTATCGTATGACTGAAGTGTTTGGCTAAGCCAACAACAAGGTAGGTCAAGGTTATCAGCCCTGCGGGTCCCGTAAGTTAAGTTAATTGTGCTGCATGCTTCTAGTTGAGAAGTTAGCTAGTTAAGTTGCTGCTGCACTTTACTTTAGGTCCTACACTCATTCGAATGAAAATATCGATCGATAGGCCTATATTGATTGCTTCATTCGATATATCGTTTGGTTAAGTTAGTTAGGTAAGGTTAACCTAACATAGGCCTAACTAACCAAACGATATATCGAATGAAACAATCGAATAATCGATATTTTCATTCGAATGAGTGTAGGACCTAAATTAAAGTGCAGCCTAAGTTGTTTCTCAGAAGGACTAAGTTAAGGTGTTCAGTTGTACTGGTACTTAGGTACTGACTGTACAGACTAGGCCTATAATAAGATACCAGCCTTAGATCCATTTAAAAAGTAACTTAGGCCTGACTTACCTAAAGCTTAAGTATTTATTTATTTTCCAACGGCATAGCCACTTTAAACAACGAAGAAAACATTCACAACTTGAAATAACAGGAAAACAGTCACACCGTGTGGGCTGGGCCTAAGAGACATGAATATAAACTCAATTAACTAAGGTAGGTAGGTACCTATCATAAAAGAATAGGATAACTAGAAGGCCCTTGAATCTTTTGTTAGCCTACTTTTTTATGTACGCGAAAGAGTTTGGGTGGGTTAGTTTTTTTGGAAACACGTGGTCTAGTTAATATTTTTTTTTTCAATTTGTTAAAACGATATTACACTAAACTTTGTGATAACTTAAAGTACCGGTACCGGTATTCTTAAAGTAAATAAACCAAGGAATTAGAAAATGTGTATTGGATGCAGGATATGACATAGCCTAGGCCTATTTAATGTGTGTTACACAGAGTCAAAACATTTATTTTTACTTTTCGTTTGTAGTCCACATGACGGTAGGCCTATAAGTTAACTTAGGACTAATTTTAATGTTATATAAGCCTAGCTTCATTGTATAAAGTCACTTGACCTATGTTAACCAAAATATCAAACACCAAACACAACAACAAACACACAAATCGGTGAGCATCATTTGTGATGATGTGGAGTAGTATGAGTGTAAATGAAGATACCTGGGCCCTATATATCTTCCTCTAGCCACTGCCAAATCACCCACATTTCCTGTCGTAACCCAACTCTATTGCAAGAATTAATCTAACTCGTCAAAGTGCACAATATTACCTTAGCTGCCTATCACAGCCAGCTTTTATGTTCTTAATGTATCTAATTATAATATAATGAACAGAGAAATATATATATATGGACTTATTCTAATTCGTGAAAAAGGTTACTAGACTTAGCAAATGTGAATTCTAATTTACGATATTAATTGCCAGACCACGACCCTTCGAGAACCTAATAAACTACATGATTGAATTACCTTTTGCCCCAACCTACACCCCTTCCCCAACCCCTACTTCTATTAGCTAGACATCTTAGGCTACAGTCTACTTATCCGATCAGATGTACAGCTCCAGGCGCTCGACACTACACTGTACTGCTCTTGGTTCGCTGCGCGTGCCTACCCGGGTGACTGCGCGCGCATCGTAGTCATGTGACTTGCGCTATTGTAGCGATCCGCTACATCCTCCCCCCGGTGGGGTTGTTTTTTTTCTTTTCCTAGTTTTGGGGTGATTTTGGGGTTTGGGAAAGATGAAGGACGAAGAAATATTTTTTTTTTTTTTTTTTTTTTTTTTTTTTTTTTTTTTTTTAATTTTTATTGTGCTCGCCGTGAGATTGTGTCGTTGTGACATCGATGTCGGTGTGGAAATGTTCCAACAGTTTTCTGCACTCCTTTTGGTTTGACTCATTTGAGGTTATAATGTGTGTCGGTCTTGCTTATAAACTATTAACTATTTATTTTTTTTTTTATAAACTAAAGGTAATTATGGTTTTGAATGAATTTCTTATAACTATGTTTGGTGGGATTGCTTAATCTAAACCTGCTCTAAGAAATGTGGGCGGGCGTATATCAGTGATAGATTTAATTAAGTTGGGTTGAGAAGATCTGTTGGCTGATGAAGTTGGATATATGATTGATGATGAATTTGGGAATGTTGTTGAAATACTGAAGGTTGATGAAATTAGATGGATGTATTGAAGTCTGGTTATTGCTGGTAATTGCTGGTAAATATGGAAGGTTGCTGAAGTTTGATGAGTTTCTTGAAGTTGAGTAGTTGGAAGAATGAAGAATGAAGAATGAAGTTGTGTAAACTGATGAATGAAGCTGGAGTAGTGTTCTGAAGTTCTTGAAGGTATACTGTTGTGATGTGATGTGACGTAATTTCGTAATTAGCTCTTGAGCCCTTACTAAATTCGGGGCGCTAATTATATCGCTGGACGCCTCTTAATGATGGATGAAATGCGTTGGTTTTGAAGTTGATATGAGGTTGATGATACGTTTACTCAGATGTGAATTTGGAGATTGTTTTGATTGATGATTAATTATTTTGATGTTAGTTATCACTGATATATTCCCTGGATATTCGGTAAAAATTGATCGCGACTACTCTACTTAAGTTTACTATTGATACTTATGATCTAAATGAATTTACTAATAATAAGAAATTGTTCTACTTAATTTAAAAAAAGGAATTTAATTTACTGAGTATAAAAGGGAAAAAATCTAATGTTTATCTACTTAAATGCTATGGATTTGATTGACTGGGAGATATATTACTAAGTTTCTGTTGATTTACTAATAATAAATTAATTAACTAGTGTGACACACATTATACACTCTTTCAGCTTGGATGCTATTCATGGTTGAATGGAGTTTCGAAAGTCTGTTGGTTGATGTAAGGAATGATAGTGTTATTGTAAGTGTAAATTCATTCGAAGCTCCTCTAGTGCCAATTATCAAGTATTATGCACAGAGGTATTAAATAATAATTATTTATTTCACCGACGGCTTAGCACAATTTAATTTTTTAAACAAATATTGTTTTAATATTTTCCTTCAATGTGAAGGATTGATCGGTGCTTGGTTTGATTATTTATATAGGGCGGAAGTAGAGGTTTGAATGGAACAGATGTTTGTACTGATAACGGCAGTGTTATCTCGTGGCTGGCGCTTGCTATTGTCTGTTTCCTACTAGTCCATTTCCTTCTCTGTCGCTCAGCAACATAAATATATTTATCTATATTTTTGTATTTTATTTTAACGCATGCAAGTGTATAACACATAATAAACATTTAAATTACCCTTTATAAATATATAATACATAAACTCTTCTTCTACGCTCAGAATTCTGCTTGTTATTTACAAACATATGGATTGTCGTGTGCGCTGTTATCTACTTTGATAACGATTGTATTACGCCTAAATACCATATATCTTATTTTAATATACGTGGATGACTTTACTTACTTAATACTTTTTATGTAATGTTGTATTTACCTTTGCGATTCAATTGCTTATATTAACACAGAAATACTTAATTTTACTTAATTCTACTTAGTTCTACTTAGCCTAATTGCCATAGTTTAAGTCTAGCTTGGTCTGTAGTCAGTTGTCTGTATCGTTCCAGTGTTGTCATTTTTCAGTCCAGTACTTTTAGTGAGTGTTTGTTGTCATAAGTAAACTGTCGGCTGCACTATTCATATGACAGTTGCAATCTGTCATAAGAATGTGTTATGGCGAACGATTCCCGTCATAGCCAATTTGAGCAAATTAAAAATAAAAAATTACTTAAAAAAAATTAGTCGTTTGCTCAGATTGTAAGTTTTAAGGGGATTGAAAAAGTTGTTGATTACTGGGGTCTGGAAATGCATATATTAAGTACAAACACTATGACGTGTTTCGCTGCCAACTTGCCACGTGTTGTCGCTTCCGGCTTTCCGGCCAAGCGGTGCATCGAGAGGTGTAGCCGCACCCTCTGTGAAGGTACGGCTTAGACTCAACTCCCAACACCCTATCAGCCGGGGCCGGAGTTGTATTGTGTACCGTATTGTTGAGAAGTATTGTTGCGAAGTATTGTTGTAGTCAGTTACTCGAGATTTCTTGCTAGATGTTCACTTATAACTAATTAAACTAGGCTAAGGTTCTATTGTGCACTCTGACGACGTTTATTTAATAAATTGGTTGAAAAAATCGTTTCAATTGTGAAATGTGGGCTTTTGTCACAATCTTACCTGTTGAGGGGTTTACCAGCTTTACTGACACTGGTGATGAGAAACTGTCAATCACGCACGGTTTTGACCAGGCGTATTGGAGTTTATAATTGACGTTGTCTATTGCTTTGGACTGTGGGTGCATTTTATACATTACCCAATCGCCTACTTTGTAAGGATTGGG